AGGTATATTATAGAATCAATAAATTTTGGCAGAAAGTGGAAAAGTGGAAAAGGGCAGACCCGATAACTTTGAAGTTTTTTCGTGGTTCCCGAATTCGATCTTTTGGTGAGGTCCATGATGATGGAAAGAGTGAAAATGGAGAATGTCTGGAATTAAGACTAATTACTGAGATCCTTCAGTTTCACCTTACTGCTTTCTGATTCAAATTCTCAGTAAGTAAAAGATTTCTTAAAAAAGTCAGCTACCACCTTCCTGAACATGTCCTTCAAAGCTTCCTTCACTCGCTCATTGCGTAAGGCATAGATGAATGGATTCAGCAAAGGTGTCACAAATGTTGTTATCACTGTCACTGCCCAGTTAGTGTCCACAGAGCCACTTTGTGATGGCCGCACATAGAGAAAAATGGCACTCCCATAGAAGAGGGTCACTACCATCAAATGGGAGGTACAGGTGGAGAAGGCCTTCTGACGACCTGAAGCAGAAGGAATACGTAGGACAGCAAGGATGATGTGGCTATAGGATGCAACGGTGATCATCAATGATGATACAATGACAAGAGAGGCCAGGACAAAGTCAGTCTCCTCCAGCTTCTTGGTGTTGGTGCATGCCAAGTGGAGCAGTGGACCACTGTCACAGAAGAAGTGCTGTACCACGGCACCCTGTTTACAGAAAGGAAGCAAGGCCACTGCTACTGTAGGACCAAGCACAGGGAGGAGTCCACCAATCCAGCAAGCCAATGCCATGCGAAAGCACATGGACCCACTCATGAGCACGGGGTAGCGCAGAGGATGGCAGATGGCCAGGTAGCGATCCACAGACATGACAGCCAATAGCAGGAATTCAGAGGCCCCAAGAAAGAAGTAGAAATAAAATTGAGTAATGCATGCAGCGAAGGAAATAGTGTGTTGCCTTGAGAGGAAATTGCTCAGCATTTTAGGAATGATGACAGAAGTGATCAGAATCTCCAGGCAAGACAGGTTACCCAAAAAGAAGTACATAGGGGTCTGTAGACGAGTATCAGCACCTACCACCCCCACAATCAATACATTGCCTGTCAGAGTCAGCAGATAGACAAGAAGAAACACAGAAAACAGTTCCACTCTTGTACTGTTGAGATTTGGAAAGCCTGCAAGGACAAACTCTGTCATACCACTGGTCTGGTTCCCACCTGGTGCCATTATCTTTTTCCTGTGTGACAATATGAACATGACACTGGTGAGAGGGGGTCTTCTTCTTAATAGTCCTAAAACTTATTTTGCCATGGTATGGCACATATACCTCCACTTTCTCCAATCAATCACAGATCCTGTTAATATTCAAAGCTCCCAAGATCACCATTTGGATTTAGAGCTGGAGAGGTTTTTCTATAAAGGATAACAAAAGCTTAAGTTTTAAAAAAAATGCCAAGAACCTCCTCGATATTCACACCCCTTGTTCTCAGATCTTACGTGTAATACCTTGTGATTATAATAGTATTATTAGCATATTATTTGTAGAAAACAACAGAAAAATCATTTTGTGAAGAACATGACTCCCATTCAATCAGGTTCAGAACTTGAGCCAGATGGCTTATCTTTGAATTTCTACATCTCCACTCACTGACTGAGTAGTTTTCTATATTCTTTAAAATTGTAAAATTCTGTAAGAAACAGATGAAATAACAGTGCAAGAATTTAAAAGAGTTTCCAAGATTAAACTGACATGTGATGTGGTAAGAGAAAGCCCTGGCTATAAGTTAGGACACCACAATCTAGGCTTGTCCTGCTGCTACCTTGGAAAAATATCAAGGAGTTCTAGCCCCTGTTTATACTTCAATTTCCCAGCTATAACACTGTGGTAAGCATCTAGGCCATTTTGCACACATATTAAATTAAATCACCCTTTCGTGAGGAACTTTCCCAACAACCTAAGGGACTTACTGAACTCAGATCTCCATAAAGTGCTTGCATTTCTAAAGCAAGTTGTGCCATGTAAAAAAGGAAAATTATGGCTGGGGTTATGGCTCAGTGGTAGAGTGCTTGCCTAGCATATGTGAGGCACTGGGTTTGATTTCCAGCATCACATATAAATAAATGAACAAAATAAAAAGGTTCATCAACATCTAAAAAATATTTTTAAAAACTGAATTAATAAAAAAGGAAAAATAGGTATAAACTATATTGATGAATTCAATCCATCAATCAGTTTTCCATACCTACTTAAGTATTTAGAAGGATACTAAGAGGATTTTTTGCTGGGTATGGTGGTGCATACCTCAGTGGCTTGGGAGGCTGAGGCATGAGGATGACAAATTCAAAGCCAGCCTTTTGTTATGCACCAATCCCTGGTATTCCCCCCCCCCAAAAAAAAATAGTTCCTTAACTTTTTAAATCCATGATATTTTACTCTACTGAGCTACCAATCTAAGACCTTTTCACAAATTTGGGCTCTATTCCATGATTTGTCAAAGATACAGTCATGGATTTGGGGCTGCAAATTATTAGTGAAATCAGAATGAAGTCCTTACCCTTTGATTCAAATGAAGTCCTTACCCTTTGATTCAAATCCTTTCAGTTCTGAAGATCACAATGAGTTACAAAAACCAAATCAATAATATTCTGATCTTGTTTTAAAAAACCCTCCCGATCCCCTGTAAACCATGCAGAGTATAAGGACTGATTTTAAGATATTTGGTTCTCTGCTGGTTCTGTTATTCTCTAGCACAGCTGGTCAGTCTTTGTTCCCAACAAACATTAGGCTCTTAACTTACAATTTCTCACCCATAGGTCGCAGATGTGTGAGTAGGAATATTCTTGGACCTATTGTCTAGGATAAAATAGTTCTGTGGTTTTTTCCCTTAGGCATTCATCCAGAGGCTCTCTCCAGCTTCTATAGAAATTGCTGTATTGTCAGATTTGACTTTTGCTCTGTATTCATTATGTGCCAAATGCTGCACTTGGTGACTCAGATGAGGACGTCATTGTTGGTATGCTCCTGCAGCTCCTGCCTGATGAGATGACAAAAATATTAGCATGTGTGTCGAATGGAAGGCTATGGATACATATATAGTACTGCAGGGGACAGAAAGGGAACCACAGTAAGACTTAGAGAGACAGGCAGTATTCTGGAGAAAGGTGATGACTAAAATAAGTGCTAGAAAATGAGTATGGCATTGACAGGAGAGTGAAAAAGAATGGCATGTAAATATAGTACATTTGGGCTAACGTACAAAACATAAGGGGTGAAGTGTAGTGAGAAAGCATTGGTCACCTCAAAGGGTACTCTTTCTGGTGCTGTTATGCCCTGTGAAAACATGCCACTGACCCAAACCTAAACCCTATTACTGAATTAACAGGAAAAATTGAATCCCAGCTCTGAATATGGAAGGTGTTCCTCTTACTTGCCCCTGCATGGCCTTGATGTCTCCATGAGGATGGGAGCCATCCTGAAATAATTTTCTTTCCCTGTTTATGATCAAACGTTCTGCTCCACCCTGCAGTCCTTCCATGCCCTGTACTGTTGCCCTGACAAAAGCCTGGCATCCTCAGAGTTCTAGAGGATGAGCACAGCACTTGGGAAGCAGGTGGAAGTCAGGTAATCTGCTTCTTCTCTTGGGCTTTCCTCCCAGGTATATTTCTTCAGCTGCTGATCTTCTGCCCAGTGAACAAAGGGGTTTTTGGTCCTAAGGAGGCTGTGCCACGTTGCCCCTTCTTGTGGCCAGAAGCAAGTCATCCTCTAGAAAGAATGGTCTCCTACAATGTGATCACTGTCATAGGCTTCACCAGGCACATGGGAAATGAGAGACACTTATCTCAAATTGCTCCAAGATATGTCATTACATGAACCATGTGGGCTGGAAGGCAAGGGGTGAATGTGGAGAAGTACATAGCTCATCTATCTCTGAAAAGATTTGTCACACTAACCTATGGCTCTCTTTATCTCCAGAGATTGAAAACTGTCCCATTCACAGCCATGCTTTCACTTTTTTTCCTGATGATTTTAAGTTCAAAGTATCAGTTTTCTTTTTTAGACCCCATCCTTCCTGAGAGTAGAGAAGAAGAAGGCTGAAGTCTCTGGCTTCTAACCAGACTCTATTGAAATGTAGATCCTTCATGTATAACTTCAGTTTCCAATGGAGATACTCTCAAATAAGGATGATTCAGGCATCAGGAACCTAGCTAGCAGCAGTGCTAGCTGGATAAAGGTAAACCAGATGATGAGAAAATAAGAGGAATGGGGAAAGGGAGGGATTAATTCCTAAGAGACCCAGGTGAGATTTTCAATTCAGTGGAAATTTCCCAGACTGTGCCGGGGAAATTTGAAAAGGAGACTGAGCCTTCATTCAGAAAACAGTGACTGGGAATATTTCTGCGTTTGTCTTTCATCAACCTCGAGTCAGGTAGGTGCAATAGGAACATTAACAATGAGAATGAGAGAAAGTGTGGGGTTTGATCAACTATAGAAGGCTATGCCCATCACCCTCCTCCCTCCCACATGGAACTCAAGGGAAATGTTTGTATCCCAAGTAACACAGAAATCATCTCTTTCCCCTGGGGACTTAAAATGATGTTGGGAAATGCTTTCTTGGCTTCTGGGTTAGGAAATGATGAGAGCCCCAAGGGCATGCATGTTAAAATAGAGGAAGACTCTGGGAATCATCCCTATTTTCCTGTATTGCTTGACTTGTACTTTATCCCCTACTAAAAGTATATATGATTCCACATGCCCAAAATATTATTTAAAATTCTGGACCATTGTTCACATTTTTCTATCTATGTCCATTCTATGTGCCTAACTAAAGAGTTTGAATATTTCTCATTCATGTTCAAAATTCAGTTTACTTAGTTCTGAGGATTTTCCTACTCATCCCTCTCAATCCCAGCACTCTAACCACTTTTCAACTTGAACCATGACAAATCCTGCTGACCTCTAACTCAGTATTTAATCTGATGTATTATAACTTTGCTTTGTTGTTGGTATCCCTGGCAGTCTCTGAGTCCCTAGGGTAGGAATATTTTCATGCCTGCATTTCTTCTTTCTTATTTATTTATTACAGTGGAGTATAATATTTTTTATTTCATAAATTCATTCACAGACTAGACATTCATTAGTCACCTGTTATATGGGTCAAGCATTGATCCAGGTATTCAGGATATACTTCAAAAAAGTAATCCCTGCTATGTAACTTAAATTTTAATGGGGGAAAATAAGAAATATGCAATATAATATAATCTTCAATCATTTATTCTGTGTCCCTATTTATGTACAGTCTCCTGCAAGTTGTGATACTATTAGTCACTTCATAGTGACTTTATTCCTCTTTTTTTATTTGTTTTAATTAGTTACACATGACAGTACAATGATCTTGACATATCATACATTTGAATCAGATGAGATATAATTTCCCATTTTTCTGAGTATACAGGTTGCAGAATCACATTGGTCATGCAGTCACGTATATACTCATATACCCACAGCAATAATAATTATTCTGCTGTCCTTCCATTACCCCCCTTTCCCTCCCCTCCCCCCATCACTTCTCTCTGCCCAATCTAATGTCTCCTCCTCC